CTGTCAAGCCCGCACCCTGGTGTCTGCTGCCCCAAAGCCTCCGACCTTGCTTCTCTGGCGGTAATCCGAAGCCTCCCGCCACCCCGGCCCAGCCGGGCCTCAGCGCTCACCTGCCTGACTCCCGATCGCCACCTCGTGTCCTGGGGCGAGACTGCATGTTCCGTAGAGAAAAGTTACCAAACTTCTGCTCTCGGCTTTTGCTTCTTTCCTTAAGTGGACCCCTGGTGGCGTAGTGGTTACGTGTTGGGCAGCTAACTGCAAAGTCTGCAGATCGAAAGCACGGGCGGCTCCGTGGGAAAAAGACCGGGCTTTCTACTCCCGTAATTAGCTTTGAAAAGCACGGAAAGGCTGTGAGTGTCCTGTTACAGGCGGGAGGTGCTCAGGGCACTGCCCTCCGGCCGGTTGCGGAACCTTTCCCACTGAGCTCTGTGCTAAGAGGCTTTCTGTGCATTGCCTCATGGCTGGTTTGGTGCCAAGTTTTCCAAACCAAGGAACAAGAGGCTCTTGGGATCGTGGACATCAAGGGCTCCAAGGACATGAAAATACACATTTTATCTGTCCCAGGCGTGGGTACCGGGTGCTTGTTTTCTTATTCTGTAGACCAGCATGTTCCTATAGAGCGCTGACTTTAATCCCGGCGAAATCAGAGAGCAGGATCCTTCAGGTGTCCTCTCACGGCCAAGGTGCCTGGCCTGCTTCGTGCTGGGGCCACCTCCTGCCCTCCCTGGCTTATGCATACAGCCTGGCGGTGCTCCACTACATGGGCCTCCAGCAGCTCCCACCTTCAGGCCCTTGCTCTGGCTGTTCCTCTCCCTCGATGCCCTTCCCTTCTGCCTTCTTGTTCCACTCTGGCCCGTCTTTGGAGGCTCAGCCCAGAGTGCTCCTCCTCTAGGAGGCCCACCCTGGTTTCCCAAGCACAGACGAAGAGCCCGCCCCACTTGGTGTCCCGTGCATGCCTTTCTTGAAGCCCCTTCCTGTGCTCTCTGCTGTGGCCCAGGAGCTGGAAGAGCCTGCGTGCGCATGCGCAGACACGGACACACACACACACACACACACACACACACACACACACACACACACCGCCACCTGCAGCAGGAGGAAAAGCAAAGAAGATGGGTAAACCCGGGGGGCTGGCTCCATCCTCCAGCCAAGCCCCAGGAATGGCTCTAAAGTCAAAACCATAAGCCGCGTCCCTCTGCCCATCCCAGTTCAGGGTCAAAATCTTCCTGACCTGGGGCTGGGGGACCCTCAGAGGCCAAATGGGGACATCTGGCGCAGGGCGGAGCCGGCCAAATGATGGAACTCTGGGAGAAACCGACAGAATAGCACGCCAACCCGCAGCTGCCACCGCACTGCCCCCACCCCCACCCAGTGCCTGCACCCAGAGACCTTCCTTCCAACCACTGTGGAGCCTCCCACGTGTCCAGGAGACTCTTTCTGTGCAGCTGCCCCATATGCCCAGCCTGCCCTGGTGCTCTGGAGAGGCTGCAGGGGCTGCCTGCTGCTGTTTGGAGAGGTGCAGCCCTGGTGGCGTAGTGGGTTCAGTGTTGGGCTGCTGACAGCAAGGTCTGCAGTTTGGAGCCACCTACTGCTCCGTGGGAGAAAGGCGGGGAAGAACCCCACAAGGGCAAAGTTCTGTGAGTTGGCGAAGACTCGGTGGCAGTTTGCTCAGAGGATTTGAACTTTCACCCTTTCTGTTAGCACTCATGTGCCTAGCCATGGGTACCCCAGGGTTCTTGGGGCTCAGAGACCTTGAGGGGTGGGCTAGGAAGCAGGCTTTCTCCTGGGACTCCACGCCCAGGGAATGAATTGCCCTAGGCCCTGGTTTCCTCATCTGTACAAACTGAACAAAGAGGGCTTCTGAGTGGAGGGCGACAGGCCCCAGAAAGGGGGACCCAGGAGGGGACTTGTGCCCATACCCTCTCTTGTCCCAGAGACTCAGCCCCTTGCTTTCACCATCTGGTCCAGGGGGAGAAGTCAGTCCGGGGACAGGGGGAAACAGATAAACTACTCCCCCTAGTTTATAGTGGCAGAATTTTATTTATTTATTTCTTAATTTTAAGTGACAGGATTGTAAACTGTTGCTGTAGGCAAGAGAGCTGGCCGTCCACTGCTGGGAAGGTATGGAGGTCAGAGGCCCTCCAATGAGCCCAGACTTGGGGCTTGGACACGAATGATTTCAGAGAGTTCCCTGGCTTGCCTTTAGAGGAAGGTTGGAGGCCTGGGAGCCTGTATGCCCAGGCACACGTGGCAGGGACAGTCTGGCAGCTCTACACGCCCAGGTCCCGGGGCATAGGCTCAGGGTTTGGTCTGGATTAGCAGCAGGGCCACGAACTTTTAACCAAACCTGCTTTTAAACCTGGTTTTGCTCACCTTTGTTCGCTTTGTTGAGCCAGTTGCTCCCTCCTTCTGAGGCTTGGTTTTCCTTCCTGAAAGATGGGGGACCTTGGGGTTGTTGTGGGACCAAAGGAAGAAATGGACTAGGGGCCCTCACTGTCTCTAGACTGTCCCAAGCCACTGTGACTGGAACACCCCAGCGGCTGTGACCAATAAGTGCAGTGAGAGTGCAGGACAGAGCCGGCCCCAGGGGGCGCTGACGAGAGTGCAGGACAGAGCCGGCCCCAGGGGGCGCTGATGCACATAGGCCCCAAACCAAACCTGCTTCCATCGAGTTGATTCTGCCTCATAGCCACCCGACTTAGGCTTTCCAGGTGCTAAGTCCTGAGGAGCAGAGAGTCAACGCTTTCTAAGTGGCTGGTGGGTTCCAACCGCTGACCTTGTGGTTAGCAGCCCAAGGCTAAGGCTATAGTGCCACCAGGGCTCCTTTGGGGCAGTGGGAGAGAATTTAGACGTGGTGATCCCCTCCCACAGAGAGAGGAGCAGATGAGGGAAAGAGAGGCCCAGAGGCTCTCACAAGGGAATGTACAGTCTTCTCCACCCACACAGAGGTGCATATGTTAGATGCTCCACTCCATTCCAGATGCAAACAGCCTTGCTACACCCTGTACACGGACGCCTGCCGACACCCACCTTCATGCACAGCAAACAGGCTCACGGAGCTCGCTCCGCAGACAGACAGACGCACACATTCGCTGAGGCAATCTCAGGAACCCTAAGACTTCAAGGAACACACTCTGGGAACTGCTGCTCTGAAATCACACATGTGTCTCTGCCATCTCCCCCCCCCTCCCCCCAGCCATCATTTCCTTTGGAGCCCACAGTCATGTTCAGTCCCAAGTCCTAAAATTACTCTGGGTTTGGGCCTCAGCTTCCCCCCATTTCCCTGGGTGGGCTCCGCCATCCTGTGTCCCCGTGACTGTCCATCGGGTTGCTCATTCCAGAGCTCAGCTTGTGACCCCTCCCTGCCACATACACAGGACATTGCCCCCCCCCAATGCCCTAGAGCCCCTCACTCAATATATCTAACCCCAGTTTCCTCCTCCTCCTCCTTCTGGACCCCCATCTTAGTGATCCGGGACCCTGTATGTTGCCTTGGCTCCCCTATCTCACCGGTATTTGGGGGTCTACCCCTTTTTCGCCTCACCCTAGTTAAGGCCATTGTCACTTCTCTCTTGAGTTACCCAATAGGCCTCACCGGATCGAATCAAATTTACTCTCTACTCAGCAGCCCGAGCCTGGATGGGCTGGCCCTGTCTCAATATGGCCTCCCCACCCCCACCCCCCACTCTAGCAAGTCTTGTGCTGTTGAAGGCAGTTACAAGACTTTCACAAGCCTGAGATGCTCCCGTCATCCTGGCTCCTGCCAGGCCGGATAACTCCCCTGTACCCATCGGCTCTCAGCTTCCACAAGGCTCTGCCCCTGCAGATGAGGTCAGATATCCTGTCACCTGTCCTCACTGCTCCCCAACTGAGCTCACAGGACACTGTCCCCCACTCTAGCATAGGGCCTTCTTGGAGGCAGGCTCTCATGCCAGTGGCTGACCCTTAGTGGCTCTTGGTGACCGTGGAGAGAGTGGATCAATGACTGAGTGACAGGCAGGGACTGGAGTGTGAGATGGGATGGGAGGAGCTGGCTTTCCGGAGGGAGACTGGGATTGGGATGGTAAGGAGGAGGATGGGAGGGGATAGGGCACGGTAGCGGTGCGAGGTCCTCAAGGAGAACACTGTTAAGGTTCCCTGAAGGGGTGCCCATGCCACCCCTCCTCCCAGGCCCCAGCGTTTCTGCCCCCGCCCCCAAAGAGAGACAGACAGGCGTGTACAGGTTGGTTTATTTACAAATATACTGACGTTCCGTCTTTTGCTGTTGTTGTTTCCATTTTCTGCTTTTGTAGGAAGAGGCGGAAGGTGTGCGTGAGAGGGCAGGGGGGTGATGAAGTGGTAAACGCTAATAAATAATTTAACAATGACAAGTTATTAAATAAAACATGTCTGGGGATGGTGGGTGGGCAGTGAGAGTCTATACAAGGAAAACTGAGGCATGGCCGTTGGGCCAGGCCCCACGCCCAGCAGAGAGGCTCCCTGGCCGGCCCTTCTTGCTCCTGGACTCGCAGGCAGCAGAGGCCTGTGTGCCTCTGGGTGTGAGTGTGTGTTCATGTGAGCAGGGCTGAGGCAGGCCCTGGGCCAAGGGTGCTCCTAACGGGGCCAGGGCCTTCAGCCCAGCGGTGCCCAGAGCTCAGGGCCAAGGCCAGGCAGCGGACGCCAATTCTCCTTCTCTGACACTTCCTGTGTGTGCAGTGAAAGGGCACAGACAGCCAATGTGTGGGTAGCAGCTTCCCTGCAAAGCCCCCACTGGCAGGATGCAGTGTACTCCCACTCCCACCCCACCAGGGAG